TTGGCTGACAACACTATTCATCGCGGAACAAAGCAGCAGCAAGGCCAGCTGCGAGGGGAAGGCTAGGCTGTTGACCGATGTATTGTCCGCCCTGCCGAGTGAAGAGGCAGGAACCCCGACTCGAATTAGCAGTCTGCCTGACTAGAGTGCCGCCTCTCTCGTAGGCTGAAATAGAGAGGGGATCGTGTTAGCTACGACGTACTGTTGCGGGCTGTTGTTGGTTATGCAGGAATTGTTGCTGCGTACTGTGCACAAACTGCTGCCGGTGTTGTTGATTGTGTATGTACTGCTGCTGCGGACTAGGCACAAACTGCTTTTGTTGACTGTGCACGAGCTACTACTGGTTCTGTTGACTGTGTGCGAACTGTTGCTAACTGCTGGGTACTGCTATCGTCTATTGTTGGCTGTTGTATACTGCTGCATGCCACAACCGGCCGTTGCCAATTACTATGGATTGCTATACAGTGGCGATTGGGCTAAGAAAAGGTGCCGGAACTAAGAGGAAAGATTAGGCTTGAGAAGGGGGATGTTATTGCCGCCAGTTAAGAGGTCGTTAGAGGGGTTGACTTTGACCGCTTGACTTCATAAGTTGACCAGGCTGCTATTGTTTGGCCATCATTGCGGGGCCCTCAGGCGAGTGTAGGTATCAAGGCCCTCTCCTGAGAGTTGAGTTGTCCCCCTCTTGCATCTCGAGCGTGCGAAACCCCTTATACTATGTCGTTCTTACTCTAAGTTTAGTCTTGATCTGAGAGGAAGGCGGCAGGCGGGATTGCAACCCGTAGGACCGCAGGAAGACTCTGTGGGGAGTCAACCCACCGATTGCGGGAACTCTGCCGGAGCTCAGGAGGAGTTTTGGAGGCAGGGAATTGAAAGGTAATCGTTGCTTTCCGTCTATAAACCCAGATTATAACCCCTATTTGTACTACCTGTGGTGTTTTGACTAAGGATTCTGCATGTATCTTATCGTTAACTTTGTTTGACTTTCAAGACACAAGCCATACTAAATAAAAGAATGCATATAAAAATCTCAGTTTCAATTTATTGTCTGTCTGAAAGCATACTGTGGGATTGCATCCGGGGGAAGGTTGGGAGGAAGGCAGTATTGCTTTAAAATTTGAGTGGGTCATTAAGGCTGGGAAGTCCCCATAAGTTTGGGGAGACCTGGTGATATGTTTATTTTGGATTGCTTGGAGCATCAAACCATTTCATAAGTTTGGGTGGTCTGATTGCTCTGGAGGTTGGGGAATCCCCATAAGTTTGGGGAGACCCAGTGTTGTGGAATTGCATGGAGAGTCAGACCATTCTATAAGTTTAGGTGGTCTAGTTGCTCTGACTTGTAAGGGTTAACTATGATTGACTTTTCAGGAGCCAAGCACATTCTGAAAGTTCAGGTGGCTTGGTTGCCTTGTTTACTTGGGCTTTCTCAGTTTCTTTGGTTGTGAACGAGGAGGTATGAGCCATTTTATAAGTTTAGGTGGTTCAACCTCTTCCTGCTTTTATTCTAAGGGAGTAACTTTGACAGAGAATCAAGCTATTCCATAAGTTTGGGTGGCTTCGACCCCATGCAATGCACAGATTGGATCAGAGAGGAATGAATCATGCAGAGAGTCAGACTGTTCTATAAGTTTAGGTAGTCCGTCCCAATGTCTCGCACATGCTGGAACCCAAAGGTTATAATTTGGCTATACTTTATTACTATCTTATTTAAGAACAGACCAGTCAAACTATTCTATAAGCTTAGGTAGTCTGACTATAGCTTATCACAATCTGAAGAGAGTAAAAATAAGAGTATAACAAAGTGTAACTTGGGCGAACTGAGCATTGTTTTTAAAACGAATGGCTTAGTCAAACGCCCGCTTTGAAGATAAAGTTCAGAGAGATATATACAACTTGGCTATTAAACAGTCCAGGGCGACTAGAATAGCCTAGTCATACGCCCAAAGAAGAGAGAAGTAGTTGTGCCCTCTGTTCTGTATAAACTCAATGGCTGGGTCAGACATGTCCCATAAGTTTGGGTGACCTGACTTTACATCTTATGTAAGTTGGGTATAAAGGGATAAATCATTGAAAGATTACGAACTATTGTTTGACGAGGTTCACTTTGAGGTGGGGAGAGTACTTACCTTTGTGGTTTGGCCTGCGTGTGACTGAGTGAGGCTACTACTTAGTCTGAGTTTCAGTTTGATAGGTAGTTGCTTTAGTTGCTCGCCGCGTGCTAGAGCCATAGGCGTTGGTTTCAAATTCCTGCATTTTCTGAGATAAGTTTTTTTACTTAAATCAATTTCTGCATTTTATGGGACCTTTTATTTATACTTGGTCTTGTAAAAATCTTGGTAAGTCAATTTCTCTACGGGAAGCGCTGCCGAAATTTCTACAAAACCAAGAAGTTAGTCAGACTTTGTCTTTTTCAGGGTCCAGTTTTTCTGACTTTTTGGCTTAATAAAAATTTGGGAAGCCTCCATTTCTAAAGGGAGTGCTGCCCAAATTTTTACCAATTCTGGGAGTTCGACGAAACTTGATCTTAAAAAGTCAAAGTCATTTTAGATCCTGAACTTAGCTTTGTATAAATCTTGGAATAGCGCTTTCTCTACGGGAAGCGTTGTCGAAATTTTTACAAATCTAAGGAGTTACTTAAATTTTATCTCAGTTAAACTCAAATCTTGTTTCCTGAGTTTATATCTGACTTAGTATAAATTTGGGAAGCCACCCTTTCTAAAGGAAATGCTGCCCTAATTTTTACTAATTCAGGGAAGTCGCCCTTCCTAAAGGAAATGCTGCCCATATTTGGAGTATTATAAATCTGGGAAGCATCCTTTTCTAAAGAAATGTTGCCCATATTTTGAGTATTATAAATTATGTGAAGTTACTTTTCTTACGGGAAGCGCTGCCGAAATTTTCTTGGTTTAGAGGAGTTAGATTATATTTTTGCAGGTGGCAATCTTAAAATTCATTCTGCATAGAGGAGATTCTGCCAGGGTCTACCTTTCTTTTTGACACTTGCTTAAAGGTAGGCTCAATCTTAGTTAGTTATGATGATTTGAGTGAGATCGTGATATGAGGATTATTCTCCATGGACTTATAAATTTAACCTGGGGGATTGGCCTGTCCTGTGATACAGGTCCTCTTGATCAATTGATCCAACATTTGGGCTAGATTCAGTTTGATCCTATAAGGATCACCTTCTGTTATCACTGATAACAGGTCAATTGTCGATTCGTCGGTCTACGACTCAACCCCAGTTCACCCTCACTACTCAACCAAAAAGGCTTTAGCCCTGGTGATTTTTGTTGTTTTACTAAGGTTTTCATCCGGACTTTTATTAAATTACCATTTAACAAAGGCACTGAGTACTTATTTATGGTTGGTTGGACAAAGGCTGGGGCTTGCTTGGCTAAAGTGAGGGGTATGAGTATGGAGGTTTGTTGGAGTTGACTCCGTGTGATGAGTGAACTTTTGTTCGACTCTTTGATGTGATTGCAGGTATGTACCGTAGTTCGGATTTTTGGATTTGACTGCCGGCGATCACACGTATACATATGGTTGTGAGAAGTCTCACTGTGATTCTGAGAAATGATCCTCACATACTTACCTCCTTTCATATATGTATATATACATATATGGGTATATTTATGTTGGGTATACGCGTGGGCAGAGGGACCCACGCTTAAAGGCTTAATTAGGGGTTCGGACTGAGAAAGGGAGGAAAACCCCTCTATGTTGTTGTATGCTTCTTATAAATTTCTTAGTCAGACGTTGGTCATGGGCCTGGATTCGAGGTCCGTATCCAAGACATCCCAAGCCCTAGACTCTGCATGAAAGGAATTTTCCCCCATGCAGAGCCTATTTGCCCTGCCTGTCGAGACACCCACGCCAAAAGTTGGAGGTCTCGCGACTGTCGCACGACTATTCCTTCAGTCGTGCGATGTCGTGAGGGAGTAGACCCTCATGATACTTCGAGTCTGTCACTTGAGTGTCATAAGCGGCACTCGGATCCACGAGGGACCGCTTGATATGGGCGCTACATAGTACGCCATCGTTGCGACTACTTGCGCACACTTGCATTGCGAGTCGACATGAGTAGGCCCTGCGTCCGTGCGGTTTTATACTAAGTCTCACGCGTGACGCCTATCAGAATTCCGCATCAGAAAGTTATGGGATGGCTACTAAGGGACTAGGAGTGTTGTCGCGTTGTTTGTTCGGTGTTGTTCTGTAAATATATATGTGTGTACGTGTATGTGTGTACGTGTATGTGTGTGCGTGTTTATTTTTATGTTCTTTACAGTGGTGTGCGCGTGGAGTGTGGGATGTGTCCTAGTCGACCGGCGCCGAATCGCGCTTGGGACCTCGGCCCCCCCAAGATGCCGGTTCACGTGCGGGTCCGATAGAAGCGTAATACCGCACGTACCCACTATGCTACAACGAACGATAAACGCCTTCGGCTGGTCCACCTCTGCGATTGCAGTTGATTAGCTTTCGTACTGTGGACTGGTAGCTCGGCAGGGATACGCCCACCGAAGGGAGGTGACAGCTCCCGTAAGGTAGAGGTAAGCCGTGCCTCGTGTAGGCCCTATCCTGTCGTAGGGGCTCGCGAGAGGTATGGTTGGCGCACTTGGCCGGGGCGGCTTGCGGAAGCTCCATGTATATTCGCGGCGAAGGATTTAGACCAACTCCTGCGTGACGTGGCCGGAGGGTCCCGCGCTGCCTTGTGTGGTGCCGGACCGATGCGCTCGACAGGTGGCGCTGTTGCCGGGGATGACGGAAGCCTACCGTTGTCCCTGGTGGAACGACATCCAGGTATAATATTGAGGAAGGAAGTAGGCACAAAGGGAACAAGACAAAGTGCATAATGTCTTGTCAGTTTACTGATGATGGAACAACCGCTATAATAAGTTTTATTGTTGATCTGATTGGTTGCTTGGGTTGGAAACTTATGAGGGAGATCCGGTAGGGAGAGATGGGGCTTATTAAGATAAGCTCTATGGGAAAGAAGATAGGATAGGACATGTCAGGCCTGGAGCACGGGTTAGTTGTAGTAAAGGTCTGATGTGGGATGTCATAGGATTGGACTGCTGAATGAGGTGGTGTGGTTTTCTTAAAACAGGGAAAGGTGAGTAAAAACAGCCCGCAAAAATATCGGGGCCAATAGCAGATGGTGAGGGGAAGGTCCTGACTCTCGAAGACCTCATTGAGGCAATGGATAAGTGGGAAAGGACGCCAAGCAATGTCCCCAAGGTTAATACTTTCCACTTCAATGGGGAACGAGTTTCTGATTGGCTGGACTTCGTGGAGCAAGCCTTGGAGGGGTTATCGGATGAGGTAAAATTTCAGCGCATCCTGACGTATGTGCTTCATGTCCAACATCAAAAGGTGACGAAAGTTCTAAGGGCGGCCAATGGTAGGTGGGCCAGATTCAAAGATGGAATGCAAAGGAAGTATAGGCTAGGCGATGATGGGTTGTTGACCACGACAGATCTGAAAGCCATGAACAGGGACGACTTTACCACTGTGGGGGCGTTCATGCAGGAATTCAAGAAGAAGGCAAGGAAAGTTCATGGCATCTCAGAGGAAGCCCAACGTGCTATCTTTTTGGGGTTGCTCACTGCCGCGGAGGCTGCAGAGCTAACGAGCCATGGGGGAGGAAGCGAGAAGCTTACATGGGCCATTATTGACAAGGGCGTGGCAGAGGGAAGTCTGGACGAAGTGGAATAGTAACAGATGCGCCTGCAAAGGCCTAAGAGGAAGGAGAGGGATGTCACAGCGTCCGGAACCCCAGGAGTAAGAAGAATTGTCACTGACGTGCTCGCAGAACTGAGATAAGGAAAGGATGTAGTAATACAGAAAAAGGTAGTGACGACGGTCCACGGAAGAGGAAAGGATCAAGAGGTGATGATAATGATGAGGAGGAAGAAGAGGACGAAATTCTGCGCCATGAGGAGGACCAGAGGGCAGAGCAAAGGGCCACAAAGAGAGAAGCCAGAGAGAAAGCCGAACCAATCTTGTGCGATGTGCCGCCCAAGAAAAAGAGGTATGCGGTTCGGTTAAAAGAAGGATTTGATGTGGAAAGGGTAATTGATAGGTTGTTGGAACGCCACAACGACCTTGTGACCCTGAAGGAAATTTTGGCGTCAGCACCTAAGCTTCGTGACGGACTGAAGGGGAGGTTGCCGCGGCACCTGGTGCCCAGCGTCCATTTGAGTATGTTTCTGCCGAAAGAGGCAGAATGAGCAGAGACAGGGACAAAGATGGACTGGAACTGTGTGGCCTGTGGTACGGTGGATTCGGTGGTAAGAGGCTCTAAGTATGCAGCAATGGTGGATACGGGAGCGGAAATGAATATTATCCAGAAACTGACGCAGTCAAGTTCAGACTGGAAATAGACCGATCTGATCGCGGCGTCCTACATGGAGCCAACTGCAAGGCAGTATTCTGTGGGACAAACTCGAATGTACTCATCGAGGTTGGGAGAGTGAAAGCCAGAGCGTGCTTCTTCGTTATGCCTGATGTGGACCATGATATTCGTTTAGGAAGGTCGTTCTTATGCAGGACAGAGACGTTAATGTTTAACAAGCACGATGGAACACTGATCCTAATCATGTGTGGCCGTGCCTGCGAAAATTACGAAGTAATCACCTGCAGAAATACAGGCCCGCGAAGCATAAGAAACCGACCCAATCCGGGCTCATTCACGATTGAGGATTCAGAGGGCGAGCCCCGGAGACTCCTTGCGGAACCAGAAGAGGAGGAAAGAGTCGAGGCGTTTTCCCTCAGCTTGTCGGACGTGAATAAGGCCATGAACATAGTGGCCACACACGAGATGGCGGATCCAGACGCCATCCAGATACTAAGGGAACAGGTCCTGGAATGTCCTCAGGCTGGGAAGTTGGAATTGGTATATCGGTTTCCAGGTGGGAGGAGGAACCCAGCATCAATGCAAGTACAAGCTGTAAGCCGGCCTTTTTTAGGGGACGACTCAAGCAGGGTTCCCAAAGGCGGTACAAGACGAGATACACAAAACGTGTCGCCCAGTTTCCGTCCTCGTTACCGAAGATGAGGAAATATACTACGAACGGGAGCGAGGGTTGGTACGACAGATGAAGGAAAACACCTCAGCTAGGCCGTGTCGTATCAACGAAGAGAACGAAAGGGAGTTGATAATAGGAGAGTCGGACTTCCTACTGCCTCAGGAAAGAGCATTAATGATAGAACTAATGAAGAAGAGGCATCGCGCCTATGCGTTTAGTGATGAGGAGCGTGGCAGGTTGTATATGGACAAGATTCCTATGATCCACATCCATACCGTGCCCCATGAGCCATGGAATTTGAGAGGAGCGCGATATCGTAATACTGACGAGGAGAAGAAGGTGGTAGATTACCTCGACGGCAAGATACGTACGCATATTGCCAACTACTCAAGTGGACCGTATACATCCTCATAGTTTTGTTTCATTAAGCCTAATGAGACGCTGCGATGGGTGCAGGATCTGCAACGGTTGAATGGGGTGACTGTGCGAGATGCGGGAGGGTTGCCCAATGCGGATGCGCTATCTGAATCCTGTGTTGGAAGGTCTATAATCTCACTTATAGACGTTTACTCCGGATATGACCAATTTCCGGTCTATCCGCCAGACAGGTCAGTGACGACAATGTATATGCCTCAGGGGTTGATTCGTATGAATTTGGCCCCACAAGGGTGGACCAATGCGGTAGCAATGGTTTAGCGGGCCATGATTCGGGTCATGCAGTCAGTCAGCCCGCATATCACACAACCATATATTGATGACTTGGCAGTGAAGGGGCCAACGGTGAAAGAAAATGACGAAGTCTTGCCAGGGGTAAGACGCTTTGTCTGGAGACATATTCAGGACCTGGAGAAAGTGTTGAATCTGCTGGAAGAGCATAACCTCACTGCAAGTGGGGCCAAATCCAGACACTGCATGAGGGAAGCTACCATTTTGGGATTTGTCTGTAGTGAGAAGGGTCGTCGGCCGGATATAAAGAAGACGGATAAGATTATTGAAAAACCAGTACCCTTCCACTCAATTACTGATGTAAGAAGCTTCATCGGCACGTGTGGGTTTTGAAGGGTTTTCGTCAAGAACTCGCCTCCAACACTGAGCACTTGAGAAAGTTGGTTCGTCAGGATCAAGAGTGGATTTGCAGTGAAGAGCAGGAGAGAGTGGTGGCTAAAATGAAGGAAGAGTTCCGAGAAGGGGGGCCGGTATTGGGAGCGTCAGACTATGACGCCACAGAGACAAGGCCATTCATTGTTGAAACAAATGCTGGACCAACTGCCTTAGGTGGAGTTTGGATTCAGGCAAATACAAAATGGGAGGAGAGATCGCTGCGTTTTGAGAGTCGAACTTTCTGTACGACTGAGAGAAACTACTCTCGGTTCAAGAGAGAGACTCTAAGTGTCCTCCATTGTCTGCTAATCTTTCGAAACCATATCTTCGGCAGAAGATTCATACTGAGAGTGAACCCGACTGCTCTGGCCTATTCCTTGAGGAATTATGTTCCTTCATATCCGACTGTTGCTAGATGGTTGACGTACATCTGGATGTTTAATTTTGAGTTGGAACAAATCCCTGGAAATAAGAATAGGGCGGACGGGCTGAGCCGTATGAACTGGGATAAGCAAGAGGGAGAGGCAACAGAAGACACGCCCTCAGTTGATAGCTTTATGGATCAGGAAGAGGACATCCGTCTTCACATCAATAAGTGGTCTCCGCGGGTGTCTAACTGCGTAGGGCATCCTATCTGGCATGCGCCAAGCGGGTATGAACGGAAGGCAGAGCTGGTGCTCAAGCCTTTTGAAGAGGAAGATCCATGGGGCAGTAAAGACGTCCAGTGAATGATGAAGTTGGCGCTGGCCGGCACCGATAGTCTGGTATTGGAGGTAAAAACAATAGAGGAAGGGCCAGATCAAGTAGAGAAACACGAGGAATTGATGGGAGGGGTGTATCTCCTCGTGAATATGCTTCTGGAAGGGGACTTTGATCAGATAGGCTCGTTGAATCCTGCTGAGAATGAGGATGTGGTGCGAGAAAGCCAGGATGACGAGTTTGAGGAGGGGGAGACCAAAGAAGCATTTCGTGCAGAGGAGTAAGATGTTATCTACCTGGAATTGAGACTTCTCCTATCGTGTGAAATGCGGAATAGGGATGCGAGCGATAAGGCCCAAAGGATGATGCAATGCTACTTAATGAGAGATGGTCATTTTTTCGTAAAGAGGCAAGTGGAAAATCCTAGGAGGGTCGTATGTGGTAGGAACCAGATTGACATTATACTTGCACTTCATGAGTGCATTGTGGGAGGATATCGAGGAGTTAGTGCCACATATGCCAAGATAAGTGAGCTATATCCGTGGGATGGGATGATGAAGATGGTTGGTAAGCCCTGCCGGTCCTGCGTAGGAGTCGTAGTACATCTGGACTTGCTTTTCATGCCACTTGGGGATCATGGCTACAATTACATCCTTGATGCGCGTGATAATGTTTCTGGCTTTGTAGATGGGCGGACCATTCATACAAAGACCGCGCCAGTCTTGGTCAGTTGCATGGAGGAGTACTACCTGCGCTATCCCTTTGTTAGGGAGTTCGTAATGGATAGAGGGTTGGAGTTTACCTGCCAGGAAGTACAAGAATTGTTATCAAGGTACGGCGTGGTAGCCAATTACACCATGACCGCACACCCCAGGCAAACGCTCTAGTGGAGAAAGGACATAGCACCATTACGAACCTTCTGGCTAAGTGGACTTAAGGTAGGCCTTATCAGTGGCCAAGGTACCTGAAGGCGACATTTTTTGTCAAGAACATTACTGTGAAAAGGACCACTAAATACGCACCGGCCACGCTATGGTACGGGAGACACGCTACCTTCCCAATCGAGAGCTTCCATAAGACTTGGAGGCGTCAAGATTTGGAGGTTGACCTGTCTTTTGAGGAGTTGCTTGATATTCAAGCGCGGCAGGTGAGCGCGATAGAGGAGAGAATTCAGGAGGCATCCAACCAAGTGGAAAGGAGTCGTATGGAAGATATGGCTCGATGAGACCAGTCGGCACAAGTAAGGAAAGTAACCTTGGCAGTTGGGGACGTCGTACTACTGTATGATTCATCCTTGGAGAAGCAGCGGTCCAGAAAACTCGACAAGAGGTGGTTAGGTCCCTATCGGATTGTGCGATGTGGAGATTTTGGCGCATACCAGATTGAAGGGCGAAATGGGACAGAATGAAAGGATTGGGTGTCAGAAACGATACTGAAGAAGTTTGTGGCAAGAGAAGAGGTAAGATAGACAATCTAACTTATTTTGAGTAGGGATGATAGGATGTGTAGATTAGATAGGATACGTGTTGTATGTGTTCTGTTTGGCCTGAGTCTGCCTTAATTACCACTTGTTTTCTTACCCCAATGTGTGTCTGTTGTCTCCTTCGCCTGTTGTGCAGGTCCTGACTTTACAAAGACAGCCATGAGAAGAGGAGGGAGGGGGACGTGGCCGACACGGAGGCCGTTGGGGGCATCAAGAGGATACAAGCGGCATCATTCTCACCACCGAGAGAGTACGCCGGTATATGAGGATGGAGATATTGAGTTGTTCCTGGACAATTTCTGGGGGTATGCGGAGCATATGGGCTGGACCATTACCCAAGCGATCGAGAGGCTGAGAGGAGCCGGCAGGTTCGCGGAGCCCATTGCACAGACTCGTAGGGAGGCAAGGACGAGGCCAAAGGTGGAGGCGAGGATGCAGGAGCTACGACCATCACCTGTGGGACCTGATGGCAGACCGATATGCCTGGAGATCGGGAATGCGGAAGAGTTCATCCCCGCCTTCGAGCGGTTCATGCATGGCCAGGGCATACTGAGGGATGAGTGGGCGAGAGCGTTACCCCTGTGGGCCAGAAAGGCAGAGAGGCCCCTGGCTAGGCAGGTCAGAGACATGACCCGGGATTGGGAGAGCTGCAGGGCCCACTTGAGAGAGGCATTCCGACGACCAGAGCCACCTCAGCCCAGAGTCGAGAGACGCCACAGGAGCAAGAGGCAAAGGGACCCTGAGCCCTGAGAAACCAGACCGTCTCGAGGGGGACGGAAAACACTTGCCAGGCGTGAGGAGGGGTTGGTGCCCGAAACTGAGGAGCGAGGGGCATACCCTGAGTGGGGGTTGGGGCCGGTAGAGTTCCATCACTTTACTGAGGGAGGATTGGGAGGATCTCCACAGCAAGCACGAGAGGAGGTACCAACATCTGGAGAGCCTCTGCAAGAATTGGAGGCACATTTGGATGTCTCGCAGTGGAGAGTACTGCCGACAAGTGCAAGATGTGACGAGCCGGCAGAAGAAGTGCCACGAGAGGAGGTTCAGGACTCTGAGCGGGAGAGGAGGCCGAGTACTGAGAGGGGACATGTTGTAAAGGAGGTGATAGAGGTTGAGAAGGATACTCCGCCTCAGACGCCGGCTGTGGGACTGAGACTTGGGAGCACGCCAGAGAGCGCACACGGCAGAAAGGAGGGATTACAGCAAGAGGAGATCCCACTACCACCGCCAGAGATGGTCCCTTTGCAAGGAGGAAGGGTGGAAAGAGAGAGAGAGAGAGATGACTGGAGGAGAGAGGCCCTGGCTATGATTGACAGGCACCTGGCTGCACATGCCCTAGAGCACCCTGACCTGCAGGAGCCCGTACCTAAGGAGCCACGCCAGGAGCCGCGTCAGGCCGAGAAAGAGATGGGAGCGGAGATTCCAGAGAGCGTCGACCATCGCTCGAGGGAAAGAGTGTCAGCAGGGGAGACGGCTAATGAAAAGCGCGCCAGTGTAGGGAAGTGTTTGGAGGAAATCTGGCAGGAGAGACAGAGATTGGAAGAGGCAGGGGCACTCCCAGACCAGCCACGACCACCCCAGCCATACGGGATCGAGGAGATATGGGATGAATTCCTAGACCAGCATGGCGAGGGATTGACGGCTCCAGAAAATGCAAAAGTTGGGACTTCGAAGAAGGCAGATAAGTACTTGGATCGGAAGATTCGCATCTTGGCCAAGACATCTTTCGATAGATATATGATGTTGGAAGCTGATCTGAGAGGGAAGGAGATGAAGGAGATGAGCCATGGAATACGTATGGAGGCAGTTGAGGCTGAGGTCCGAGAGCTCAGAGCGTTGGTGGCTAGTCAGGCTACCATAATCCAGGACTTGAGATAGCAACCTCGAGGTGGGGCTGGTAGGGGTGACAGAGAGGGGCCAGCAGAGGTGGTGGACAGGGCAGAGAGCAGCAGGCAGGGAGAGCAGAGACAGGCAGGGTATGGCTTATGAGAAAGGCCATTCGCAGCCGAGCTTCAGCAGGAGTCGTCCATGGGAAGGGCCATCTTGGAGGCTGAGGAGGCGAAAGCAAAGAGAGGGGCAGAGAGAGAGGCCTTCGAGTTCAGAGCCCCTACTGAACTCGCCACACTGCCTATAGTAGCAGTGGGACCTACCATGCCGCTATCAGTCGAGGAGGGGCAGCCGATGGCCAACGACGAGCCTGTCCAAGGCTCAGCAGAAGAGTCTATGGATGTGCTCCTTGAAGCAGTCCACACTATGCAGGAGGAGGCAAGCTTATTTTCACCTGAGCAGAGGGTAAAGGAGCCTCCTGAGAGTGAGATGGGGATTGCGATAGAAGGCGTCATTGAGGGCAGGCCCCATAGGTTGGATACACCTGAGTATAGGCCAGAGGGGGTTGGGATACGACCAGGGCTTAGCACTCAGGAGTTGGGGACAGGACCTGAGGAGCCTATGGACGTACCTCGGAATTACGAGCTGGGCAGAGAGGCCAGTGAGGCACCATCATCACCAGGGTTTCAGAGGGAGAAGAAGAAGTCCAAGAAGTGGTTTGGCGCATCCTACTTCTTTTGGAAAAAGGAAGGCCATCGAGCCTTGCAGTGTCCTAAGTTCTTAAAGGACCTGGTTGAAGGGAAGGTCACGAAAAGCGGCGGAAAAATGTATGATAGGCAGGGTAGGGAAGTAGAGCGATCTGCCGAGGGCTCAGTTGTACAAGGAAAACCAGGAGGAGATGAGTGAGTAGGGACTGGTTTGCCTAAATAGAGGCAGGCATCAGGCGATGTCTAGTAAGGTTGAGATAAACCTGAATTGAGGGTCGAACGCATGGTTACCTTCACATTGTTAGGAGACTTGGATACGTATGTCGCTGAGTGTATAGATGGGGGATCACAGCATAGGGTGTCCATCAGGATTAGGACCATAGGAGATAGCATGTGTATGATGAGATTGTCTTGTTGACATCGATAGAAGGGATTCTGGGTTGTCTCAATGATTGTTTCCTGTACAGTTGACTATGTACCATATTGAGGGTGACTTGAGTTGTTCTGAGTAATTCATGGGACAAGATTATTGTGTATATTTTTTTATGAGATACGTCATCCCTGAGTGTGGTTTTCTCCTGATGTATGATGATTTTTGTGAAAGATGTGTGACAAACATCTTGTATGGATGGTGTTTTTTAAATGTGAATGGATGTGAACTGTCTACTCTCCGGTAGACTCGTGTGATCTGCCCACAGGCAGGTGATAGGGCCGCGTATAAGGAGAGAGAGTGCAGTATGTTTTTTGTGAAAAGTGTGAGAATCCTAAGGGATTTATGAGCCTTGGGACTCGAATGCCTACCATGCCGAATATTGTTGTTGAATTGTGGTAGGGGACCCACAAGTTGATCTCTTGATTTGAGTGATTTATAATTGAGACACCTTTTATGGGAAGGGCAGTCTTTGTTGTTTATTGGAAGACTCATCTTCAGGAAGAGGAGATGTGTTAAAAGGTCGCCTGAGAGTTCATCCTAAGAAAGAGAAGGGATGACTGTGAGACCTATCGAGTGAGACCTCCTTCGTATGAAAAAAATGGTGAATAGATTTAATGGCATGATAAGAGTTGGTTTTGGATGATAAAGTCTGACGAGGAGGACCATGTTTTGCTTAGTCACTGGTGAATTTTTTGTAAACGTCGCAAAAAGCTTCATTGGGAGATGTCTTCGGGATGTGTGGTCTTCTTGCTTTGATCAAGTGAGGGGGCCACCGCCATGCGGACCTGGCGGTGATTTTGTTTTGTGATAGTGGGGAGGCTGCCGTGTTCTCTCTCTGTTGACCCACAGAGGGCTGGAAATGCCTTTTATGTGTGACAGACCTCTGCGTAGTCCGGCAATAGGCTTGTATTGTTGCGATACACCGTCCAGCCGCTTGTGCTAATCTTAGGGTATTTATGAGAGACCCAGCTAGGAGTATAACCGACATCACTACGGCGCAACCTCTAGTGTTGGCTGCTGATCGGCGCAACCTGACAGCGGACCCACGTCTCGCCAGAAGGGGTAAAGACTTAAAGGGGTGTGGCCACCCAGGAGGGTTTTACCTGCCGCGGGATGGCGTGGGATAAGAGTCGAGTCCTTTGGAGTCCTGATTGAATGCTTATCAGGAAAAAAAACCTATCGTGACGCAACCTGCGAGGGCACTACTGCTAAAATAACAAACGTGGTGGGCCGTAGATCTGGCACGATCACCCAGGCTACGGTGGGCCAAGATCGAGACCTGGTCTTCCTGTGCTAGACTGCAGGAAGGGTCTGTGATGAGGTTTATGTGATATATATATATATATATATACTTGATTGCGAAAGTTTTAAGAGGAAGGCGCGGGAGTGCCTTCAAAGGTCTCGGTCAAGGCCCGTGTCCCTGGTTATGGCCCTTCGTGCAGGGTAGAGACTAGGGGCATTTAATGAGAAGTTGGTGTTTGTCTAGGGCGAAGGGGAAAGACCAGTTGAGAGGGGCCGCTGGAACTTATGCTGTAGTACGTATGTCTAGTGCACCTGCGTCCTAGTGTGGGACAATGGAGACCCAGGTTGGAACCCTTGCGGCATATAGTTGTAAGAGTCTGGATTGTTGGAGGCCTCAAACCAGAGTAAGTCGGCTAATCGGATTGGTTCCTTCCTCGTCAGCATTTGGGTCGCGGATGATCTGATAGCTTTTGATTTTCGAGCGCGCCGGCGACGTCGCTTAGAATGGTACCGTAAGCTGTCAGTGCGAATACCCTTACAAGGGTATCCGCCCTGTTTTTTGCAAGTGACAGAAAATTCGAGTAATTTGGAATTGTCGGGTGACCTCGCTGGTCACCATAGTCATCTGAGTGAAGGCTGAGGGTCGTTTTGAATAGGAAGAGTGAGTGAGAGCGCAGTTTTAAGGCTCGCATGTGATTTTGTTTCCTTTGTGTTGATTTGGGAGTTGGCGTAATTGACCGACAGAGTTTTATTTTTCTCTGATTAAATTAGGGATTTTTCTTTTGAAACATTCCGCCTTTTTTGTACCCGGCGCGTTTGAATGGCGGTCGGCTTGGCGCGTGGAATGGCGTGTGTGGTGACCACAGTGCAATTTGGGCCCGCTGGCATGAATGTTTAGTGGTCGTAGGTACAAATGCAGGCTGAGGAACGGTCCAAGGCGTTTCTTGGCCCTCAGCACTGCGCAACACCACTTCATATAGGATTTCGCACCTGCAGGTTTTAGGCTTGTTCTTAGCACTATAGGTTACGGCTTGGGACTGCTATTGCGGAGGTACGGGGATCGAGACCAGCAGGCGACAGCGAAGGCGCGATGGAGCGTGATGAAGAAAACAGAGGGGTTGAGGGCCCCAGCGGGACTATCCCCCTCGGGTTTTTGTCGTCGGTTCAGACAACGGGCTAGATCCGAGGGGACGAAGAGATGCTACGGTCGCCCTTCCCCTTCTGGTTTTCGAAAGTGTTATCCGTTTATTTTTTATTTTTTATCTCTTCGTCTCATCTAGAGTCCCAATTTTATTGGATCCGGTGGTTAAGCCGGTTCTGGGACTGATGTCCTGCATTTAGGGCCTATCTCAGTTGCTGGACCCATGATCTGTTTTGTTACAGCGTCTAAATTTTTGAATTGAGCATGGACAGTCCCACCAGGATTGGTGTTGTCGTTCGGGACATCCGTTAAAATTGGAACGACACTAAAAGATTAAACGCGACCGGACGACAAGGGTGGTTTACGTGCAACATACTGCACTTGTCTGTACCTGGCCTCGGAGTGGGGCCGGGACACTGCGTAGTATGCTTGGGCGGAGCGGCACGAGGACGTTGTGGAGGGGCCGCAGCGAGACTGGCGTGCAAAACGTTCAGCGGCCTCGGGTATAGGGGCAACAAACTAATTGGGCCACGGAGTAGAAGTCTCGTTCGGAGTTGCCCCATGATCACGAAGTCGGCTGGGCACATCGGGCTGCGTTAGTAGTAGTAAGAAGTGGAGAACCGGGGGCAGCGAGTATAGGCAGCGAAGGGGGCTGTTGACAGGTGAGTTGCTACATCAACCTTTGCGGATTTCGACTTGCATGACCAGAGCTCTGCGGCGAGTATCGGTCAGGGCCTTTCGAAGCGCCTAGGTCAGCGAGGGGATACTCGACACAGAGAGAAGTAAAGGGAGGCAGCAATAGTTGATTTGAACCTGGACGGGAAGTTGTGGCGGGTACATGCGAAGGAAAGTCAGGCATGGTTGAGCTATGAGAAAGGCGGCGCGAAGAGAGAAAGACGTAACTCGCCTGTTTCTCGATGAAAATGGGCGAGGGGAGAAGTAAATTGGAAATTTTTGGATGGAGGCGAGTTCATGGGAGGTGCTAGAATAGCGGGAGGACTAGTGAAGCGGGAGATATTTGAGAAAGGAGCTGCGCGGGAGACTGAGGGAAGCGGCTATGGCACATGTTGAGGACACGTATCCCGCTCAGTTCTTGGTGAAAGCAAGCGAGGTGGAGTCGGAATAACGAGTGAGGGAGTGTAAAGGGAGTTAGGAAGAAAAGATGGGTGCGTTTGGCTATGGCGGAAGGAGTTTTGGATGAAAGTGAGAAAAGGCGGTTTCTCGCTCGATTCGAAACGGAATCGAGCGAAACAAAGTGATAGGCGAGGATCCTTCGGTACCGCGACTTAATTGGTAAGGCTAGTTTGACCAGTAGATTAGCAAGTTATGAGTTAATGCATAACAGTTGTGCACGCGAGTAGAGTTTCATTATGACGTAAGTATGGCGGGGCATCGTTCCATGTTTAGGTGGAAGATTCACTCGATTTGGCTCATCCTATCGTTGGTGAGGATGTCCAGTTAGTCGCGGGGATCGTGAGATAAAAATAGGGGGTAAGAAGAACGGGCGTTGAGAAAAAGCATACCCAGTGGATGTATACGGCCGTGTTCCAGCGGAAGGATTCATTCGACTTTGCCTGTAGCTTCTGTAGAAGCTTGCGTGAGGCGACAGGGAGGGGTCGGGAACTTACCTGTTGGTTGATGAGCTGCCCATCCCGACGATCGAGGCAGCAGGGGAGCGAGCCGTAAGGGGCCAAGAGACTACCTGCTGGTGGTACGGTACCCATTCTGCTGCTCAGAGTGATGGGAGACAGGCTGCGAAACTGTCGGGCCATCTTCTTGGCTGGCAGCACTATTCGCCTCTGAACAATGCAGCAACAAGGCCATCTGCCAGGGGAAGGCTAGGCTATTGACCGATGTGTTGTCCGCCCTGCCGAGTGAAGAGGGAGGAAACCCGACTCCAATTAGGAGTCTGCCTGCTGACCAGAGTGCCGCCTCTCCCGTAGGCTGAGATAGAGAGGGGGTCGTGTTAGCTACAGCGTACTGTTGTGGGCTGTTGTTGGCTATGCATGAACTGCTGCTGCGTACTGTGCACAAACTGTTGCTGTTGTTGTTGACTGTGCACGAACTGCTGCTGCGGACTAGGCACGAACTGCTTCTGTTGACTGTGCACGGGCTACTACTGCTTCTGTTGACTGTGTGCGAACTGTTGCTAACTGCTAGGTACTGCTATCGCCTATTATTGGCTGCTGTATATTGCTGCATGCCACAGCCAGTCGGTGCCAATTATAGAGGTGCCGGGACTCAGAGGAAAGATTAGGCTTCAGAAGGGGAAGGTTATTGTTGCGAGTTAAGAGGTCATGAGAGGGGTTGACTTTGACCGCTTGACTTCAGAAGTTGACAAAGCTGCTATTGTTCGGCCATCATTGTGGGGCCCTCTGGCGAGTGAAGGTATCAAGATTTCAAACAACTCTTGAGACTTGAGTTGTCCCCTCTTGCATCTCGAGCGTATGAAACCCTTTA